GACGTGGGGGCCATGAGGATGGAGGGAGAGCGGCCGCCGCAGGGCAGCCGCCAAGCCATCAGGAGTGATCCCACTCATGAGCCGTGCGGCAGCGCGTCCCCCTCATATGCCTCCCCCAAAAGGAAGGAGCGCACCATGAGAGTCCCGGGCCGTACTTCTTGATGAGGGGCGCCAGCAGCTTGCGGGACTGGGGGGTTGGGGGCGGGGGGGTGGCGGCGTCATGACACTTCCAACGGTCGCAATGAAATGTCAAGACGGCCTTGTGAATAGTGACGCTGCATTTACTGCGGCTGCTGCATGGGCGGCATTCAAGCCAGGACCGTCGTCGCCTCTGATAAAGTGCATCTGCCAGCACGCGGCGGTGTGACCCTCGAGAGCACAAGGAGCGCCCCAACGCCACAGCGCGCTCCAACCCGGCTGCGGCCGCCTGCTGTCCAGTCGCCCAGACCCCTCCCCATACTGTTGTCACGCCCCGCACCTTGTCCAGGTTGGTGTTGTCCGGCCTGAGGGAGGAGGCAGGGGGTGAGGCGTTGGGCGGGAGTGGTGGGGTGAGATTCGCAGTGCACTCATCGCGTCAGAGGGATGCCGAGGCAGCAGCAGAGTTTCACACAGGCGCAGCGAGGGAGCAGCGCATGCACACAACCATAGGGGACAGCTGCCTTCGACCCTGGTCCCAACTGCCAACCATGGCACCCGTCTCCTCCCCCAACACCCCCCCCTCCTCACCAGGACTGCTCAGGGAAGAAGCGCTGGCGGCCGCCCTCACAGCCGCCACGGCCGTCCCAGCTGCGGTAGGAGCCCGCACAGTGCCACGCCTGGGGGATTGGGGGGAGCGAGAGGCATCTGTCGTGGCCACGCTCATGCGTTCATGCCCCAGCAGCTTGCTTGGTTGCATTGAGGGGCTGAGCGCCATCTGCCCAGGCCACACAAACGAGGCTGCTCTGCACCAAGGCGGCATGGCGCCATGTAAAACGAAGGCACGCGGCTGACTTGCTGCTGCTGGCAATGGGCCGGCATCTGCCCACAGCATGAAAGGCGTCCACTCATCAGCTGCATCACAGGCGTTGGTTCTGCCTGCCCGAAGCAGCTTGCGGGGGCTGACGGCCGGCAGCGGGCGGCCATCGGCGGCTGGCGACTGGCTGGCAGCGCGCGCACCTGGCGTATGAAGAGTCCGGCGTAGTTGCCGCCCGTGGGGCTGTCCGGCCAGTCAGCGGGCCACTCTGGCTGGGAGGTGGTGAGAAGCTTCCGCAGGTCCGCCTTGACAGCCTGGAGGGAGGGGGCAGGGGTGGGGGTATGAGGGGTGGTCGCGACCATGGGGCGGGGTCATTGGTGGGCAGTGTGTGGAGGATGGGGCGTCGGAGCGAGAGCAGCGACACAGCAGAGCGCAGGGCAGCCCGGGGCCAAGTTTTGATATGTGCACACAGGACGCAGGTCATTTGGTATTGCTGATCATAATGATCATACAGGGGTTGCAATGCATGAGAACATCTGGCGTTTGCAGGTGAAGGCCGCGCCATCCACCAATGCGGAGGTCGGGAGGCCCAGGGGCTCACCTCCCAGTCGAGGGCCTCCACCGCCGCGCGGTCGTGGTGCCCCTGGGGGACAAGGGGGGTGGAGATCGGATAAATGTGGATGGCCGCGACTCCGGGACCGTCGGAAAATTGCGCCTGCACCACTTCGGCGAGCGCAGACGGCGCGCCGCTGCTCGCACCTGCTTGGGAGCCGTGATGAGGTGGCGCAGCGCTCCGACTGCCGCGGAGGCCTTGCCTGCAAATGGGCATGCTGCGTCCACGCCAACCGCCACAAATGCCCCAAAGCCTAACAAGAGTAAGGATACGAGCGTTAGAGCGCTAGAGCGCCCCATGTCTGCGATCCAAGATCAAGTGGACGAATGATTCGACGGCAAAATGGTGTTGCAAGATGTTCGAGACAGGTGTTTCGAGACCAGAGATACCTATGAATGCAAACGCGCCCGAAAATTCTGGTTTTGTGTGCGGTGCCGGTGTCGCAGTCACTTGAGTGAGAAAGCCGAGATCGCCGATGTGGCGTCTGTTCAGAGTCGCAGCTTTGTAAATGTCAGTTCAAAGTAGTTTTGTGTCTGTCGAAAATGCAAACAGGGCTGCCGGGTGGTCGGAGCAGTGTCCAGCTCCACGGTTATGACAGCATATGAGCCAACTGAATCATCATTTCCGAGAGTATCATACGCCCCGCCACATCCCTGCATGCACTGCCGGTCTCCTTTATACAAGTACAATAACAACCATGAAACAGTACGGTGCGCATAGAAGGCCCCATGTCGGTCGCTAGGCTGCTTCAACCTGCCTCGCATGCGCGGAGCTTCTTGGCGCCCCTCCCATCGGCGCCACCCCTCCCTGCCCCACCAGAACCGCGTGCCTCTCAGCCTGGACACTTTGCGGTGCAGACCTGAGCGCGGCAAGCGCACACCAAAAGCATACCACAAGTTACAGAAGCCGGTCAACACTGCAGGGCCCTGGCGTGATCACGACAGCACACAGACAAGGGGGCCCGTGGTTCAGGGGCGGGGACGCCGTCAGGGGTACCGCTGCCTGGCAATTGCCTCTGGGCATGCAGCAAACGCCTCCTGTGCAACTGTGCAGTAGCGTGGTGCAGCGCTGACACCAGCAGCGCTGTCACTAATTGCTCAAACCCATGGGGAGCTGTCTCACTGATGGGTGGGGGGCGTTAACGGTAACATGTGATGCAACGTTGTGATGTTCTCAGCAAAAGTGAAACACACAGCCGACTTCTGGAGACCCAGACAGCCAGGGCAGCTGCCAGCTGTGTAGGGCACAGCGGCGCTGCCCAAAACCACCGACTGAAAACCAGCGACCCTTGGCAACCTGCTGGACCAACGCGTTTGAAGAGTGCATGGCGTTGCCCTTCTGGATTACTGAAACGGCCTGTCGCCCCACGCCTGGCGGCGTGGCATCACCGCGCCAGCTCGTCCAGACCGTCAACGGCGCCCCAGGCCGCACCGCTACCGCCGCCGCCGCGCGCCGCCGCGGCCCCGGGCGCACCCCCGCCCGCCTCCCAGCCCTCGTCCCTGAAGACGCGCGCCTCCGCGCTGGGCAGCCCCTCCTGCGCCGCCGCGCGCGCCATGCGCTGCGCGAGACCCGTCTGCCGCCGGCCGCCCTGGCCGCGGGCCACCGCCTGCGAGAGGGCCTCTGCGCTGCCGACGACCAGCAGCAGGCGGCGGGCGCGCGTGATGGCGGTGTAGAGCAGCATGCGGCTGAGCAGGGCGGCCCCAAAGTTGCGGTGCAGGGGCAGGACCACCACGGGGTACTCCCCGCCTTGGGACTGGGGGTTTTGGGTTGTTTGGGTG